TCCTGACATCCTAATAAAGGTAAATACAGAACGTTAGCACATTCACAAATGTGCCGAAACTAACCATTATCCACTAAGACTCGGTTTAACTGTATCCCATCGAAGAAGGCCTTAATGTACAAAGGCTTAACATGCTGTGTCATAGAATTCGAGAGATACTCAAATGGATACGAGAGGTTAATACTTACCACTTCTTCACTCTCATACTCAGCTTCCATTGGGGTAACCATTCCGAAATTATCTTGTACCATACTCGCTTGTGAATCTTCACTAGAGATTGGAATTAGATCAACTTCTTGCCCCTCTTGATTCTCGTCTCCAGCTTGGAATTCTTGCGATAGTATGTGTACCATGTTTACTGATACTGGGGAAAACGAGCCAAACTGGATGGCTGGCTGTACCTGTTTCCCTTCTTGGCCACTTTGGTCAATTACCTCAGAAACATCCTGCATGCTGCATTCTGGTATTTCATTATTAACAGGTTCCTTCGAATGATTTTCCTCAGCTGGTTTTCCAACCAAAAATGTTTGCTTGGCCATGAAAGCTTCGAACATTTCTTCTTCCACCATTTCTTTCTTTTGGCTCATGCCAATTTCTTCTTCTGTCTCGCTACCATTCTCTAGATGACGTGCGCTATGTCCCTTAACTTGTGCTCTAGACGTCGAGCATGCGATTCTCTTCGCCGCTGGTGTCCGTTTGGGCTCCGTGAGCGACCAAAACTTCTGGCGCGCTTATCTCGTGCATCTCTCGGAAGTCCTCTTGGGGAAGTTTCCAGGTCCTCCATGTTCTAAACGGCGGGAGGTCCATCTCTCTGTCTGGTTGACTTCGGAGTAACACCGTCAATGGCAGATAACAGTATTTCATCGTTGTTCGCCATGGAAGGCGATCAGATGAGCTTCGAGGACAAGGTTTTGTCTGCATTCCTTTGGGTAGGCATTTCCCTAGGTTTGTTTTGCATCACAAACCAATCTGGGACTCCAGGTACCCACGAACTTACTGACCCAGACGTTGAACTGCCCTTTTCTTCCTTCGAGGTCACCTTCGAGGCTGGCTGTGAAGACAATTGTTTGGCCCTGTCTCCAAGCTTTGAGCCTGATTCAGGTTTTCGATGATGGTGATCATTTTCTGTTCATCGTGAAGCTAGTCCAGGGGGCCAATTTCTGGCTTTGATCCTAAAATCTGAACTCTTCTCTAATCTTCTTTCAGAATGACTACTCTCCATTCTGTAATAGTTAGGTGACCTGGTCTCATATAAGGGCCTCTTGCCTGCAGGCTCAACTACTAATGGCTGCCGCCTAACATTAGCCGGATACGGCCTTTTATTATAAGCATTGGTTGGTTTGGAACGCCTCTGCACATCCCTATAATATTGCTTCCCATCAACTGGAAGGCCTTTCAACTACTTATAACTCAGTCTGCACCTGGGACACATCCTCTGCATTACGGCTGCTTCTAAGGAGTCATCATCCAGTGCTTCTTCTTCAGAGTCTTCCCTCTGACGTGAGAAATCTCGTCCAATAGCTGGTAGATTTCTAGTATCTTTTTTGATTGTTGTCTGGTTGGCCACATGCATCTGTACATTGACTTCTTCCAATTCTTTCAAAGACAAGTTCTGAAAGTCTGATATAATGACATTGGCTACCACCTCTCCAATTTCTGGAAATGGATTGCTATCGATCTCCATGGCTTTTTCAGCTTTGGCTGGGAATTTCAAACTCCCTTTCCGAATTTGTTCTTGGATCCTGTCTCGAAAAACAACACAGTTTTTAGTCAAGTGAGACCAAGAATTATGCCATTTACAATATACTTTTCCTTTAAGTTCATCAAGAGATGGAATTTTAACCCCTTTTGGTAACTTAAGGAAGTTGGCCGCAAGCAAATGATCAAAAATATCATCTGCCTTAGTTAAATCGAAAGAATACTTCCTGGGGAGATCTTTCTTTTTAAACTGCTGGTCAATTGTCGTATCTTTATGAATTAATGCTTCACAGATCATAGGTTCTTTTCCCACAATCTCTGTTGCATCAATCTTATAATTAGGATCTTTGTAGTATATCCTATATGATGCATTATTTTGATCTTGTTCCTCTTCTAGTAATGCTTCATATCTAGATACTTTGTAAGTCAGTTCCACTAAATCCCTGAACTCTGTTGAGTCAAACTTCTTTCGAAGCCTGAACTCTAAGCCATTTTGGGCCAATTTTACGAATTCTGGTTCTAGCAAGATTACTCTACATTTATTTCGAGCCCTCTTAAATCTGGAAATAAACTGAGTAGCCTTCTCTTCAGGCCTTTGACTCAATCTTGCCAAGTCTGCCACAGAAACTTCTGGCTCTGATTGGAAGAATTGGGCATGAAATGCCTCTTCCATTTGCTGCCAAGTCTGGATGGAGCTAGGTGGAAGGTTAATGTACCATACAAATACTCCCCCAGTTAGAGAATTTGGGAATAATCTCAACTTCATATAGTCATGATTAGTAAATTCACCACATTGAGCAGCAAACCTAGCAATATGCTCAACTGTTGATTGGTTTCCATTCCTATAAAAAAGGGCAAAATCTGGTATCCTGAAACCTCTTGGATATTCATGTACCCTGTCGACCCATTCTGGGTATGGTTTTCTGTACACAGGAGTTTGGACCCCCCGAGCCATTGGTCCACACAGCTCCCTAACTATATCAGCAATTTGGTCCCTAGGGATCATATTTTGTGCTTGCTGAACCACTACTGGGGGAACAAACACAAGGTTTGGTGGACAAACTTGTGCTTGTGGTCCTCTTGGTCCATAGGGTGGTACATTTGGGACTGGCTGTCCCTGTGGTACCGGTTGCTGTTGGGGGTATAGGTAACCTCTTTGAGCCTGTCCTGTGAAGGGACCCACGAAAGGTGCTGGAACAGGTATTGTATCCCTTCCATTTGTAGGAAAACCTTCCAACCCCCCGTGTATAAATTCGAATAAGGGATTATTGTACCCCCTAGTTCTAGGTATGGCTTCGAATGTGGGGTTTGGAACCATTCTTATGCCATTTTCTTGTACTGGGCTAGATCCACCAATTTGCATGGCTTCACTGTTGAATATTGAGGCATTCTGGCCTGCTACAGGCCTCGAAATGGGTTCGTACCAGGACTGAGGTGGTAATCTTTCATGAATTTGATTACTGGTTTGACCATTAGAATGCCCATTAACTTGCATAGGCTGTTTATCTCTAGCCAATCTTTGCTGAGGGACATTTACTTCCTCCATGTGTCTTATATTTGTTGGTTGGTGGTTATTCATTCGATCCAAAAAGGATGCTGCCTATCTTTCCATTGTGTTTATTAATTGCTGTCCCATGGCATCTACTAAGCCACCACACGGATTTACTGGCTGAGTAGATGGGACACTGGATGGTCCAATTCCTTGGTCCCGTCCATTATTACGAATAAATGGTATTTGCTCTGAAGTACTGGTCTGTTCGACCATGGGTTTCGATAAGATAGGAGTCTCCACAGGATGTGTTATCTCCTTCCACGCCTTCTTCCAAACGTTCATTTTCTCCTTGTCTCCTACGTCTAGCCGTTTTAAATCGTCCCACTGGGCGTGCCAAAAATATATGTTGGCTCTTTGGCTTTCGAAGGTTATTTTTGTAATTGTGAGCGTGCCAGTAAGGATCAATCAGTCCTTACAGAATTGTAATTGCCAACCAATTATTCAGATGATTGTGTTATGGTTCTTTCAGCCTCAATGAAGAGGACTTTTACTGGTGGCTTACTGGTAGCTTGATTTAGGAGAATTTAAGCATAAGAACAGTTAAATAAATTGAAGCATTTCATTAGTATGAAAAACTTACAATGATCTCAGCCTCGTAAAGATTTACAGCGGCAATATACTCGAAGACTACTCCTACAAATGAAGTGCAGTGCAGGAATTTAAAGTACAGAAATGTAAAGAACAAGAATTAAAACTGGGATATGTAAAGTAAGACTGGTTTTCTTTTGATCTTTTTTTGGGGCCTTCTCTGAAGTCCTTCCTGCTAGTTATATTCTTCAAAGATAACCATCGAACTGCACTTCAAACCGTCGAACTGCTCCTCCGTGATCGCTGATCATGCTACCTTATAAGTAGTTCCACTACGCCTTCATTTGCAGTTAGGCTTCCCTCCTATATTTGAATTTGAATGTGAGTAACCGTTGAAGCCACGTCACCTTGCATCTCTTTATTGATCCGATGTTACTCAGATCTTATAACAACCAATATTAACTGCCACGTGTATGATCAGGATCGAAGACTTGACTTGTCTCCCCATAGTACCCTTACTTTGCCACGCGTCGAATTGCCACTGGTTTGCACAAAATATGTAGCCAACACACTCATATTCATCAGTTACCACCAATGGTGAAGATTTGAGGGAGAGAGGGGGTGTGGTTTTGCTACTGGCGACTTCTTTTCCGTAACTATACCTAGCTTATAACCAATGGGAAAGACTATGGTACATCTTCAAAAGGGTGTGTACCATATATATTTTATAATTATAGAAGAAAATAATATAATTTTATTTTTTCTAAATTATAACTTTAAAAAATTTAAAAAGTTATAACCAAATATAAAAAAGTTATAATCAAAATCTCAAAATAATGTCATAACAAGAGGAAAAAAATTAGTCATAATTAAAAAGAAAAATAACGTAACTAAAAGTGTATATGGTATGGGGTGTGTATAATAGCATAGCATCTTGTTGTGAGCCTATGAAAGTATGTCTTGAATGTATTTTAATTATTTAAACCGTTCATAGTATAGGATTTGTTGTGTAAATCATTCATGAAAAAATTAAAGTTAATGAGATATCTGCAACGCACAACAAGAGTACATTTATGTTTAGAAAAATAAACAGTTAGTATGATTTTAATAATTTTAAGATTATTATTTGTCTTGATCATGGAATTATACTTATCGGATTAATTTTATTTTTTTATATAGATAATATACTCAACAAATTCTATAATATGAACGGCTCGAATCATCAAAATGTAGTCGGAACAAACCTCACAAAGTGTGACAACACAAGTGCTGCCACAGCACCCTGCATAATAGAATTCTCCATAACCAATAGATATATAGGATTTGGGAGTAGGTGAAGGTGGTAGTGGAGGTGGTAGGTGGAGTGGGAGTGGTAATTTACATTTACTTTTACAATTTACATTAACAATATCAACACTAAGGGCTCGTTTGAAAATCCTATATATTTTAGTTAAAAAATCAAAACAAAGTCAACTCTATATTTTAGCCAATCTGTCATAATATATTTGTCAACACATTTCAAAACAAAGTCAATATTATAGAATTTCCCTTTGTTTAGATAAGGGATAAATGCAAGCTAAAAAACTGATAATCATAAGTAATAATAATAAATAGTAAGTAAAAATTACATCATATAGTCTTCACCAAACTCTACAAAAAAAATATATAATTCATTTAAGCTCTACTAAACATCCCTTATTTTTTTGTTAGGTTTTGATAATTCTTTTTATATTTATAAATTAAACTTATTATCGATTGAAATATATAGGTGAGAAATTTTTTTTTTGAAAAACTTTTTATCGGTTAAATGAACCATTACCAATGGGCAACTTTTTTTTGTTTTTTATAGCAAAACAACCACACACAAAAAATAAATAAACAAATAAAAGGAAAAAAATAATAACAATTTAAACCATTACCAAACAAGGGCCACCCAATGTCTTATAAATAAAAAATAAAAAAATAAAAAAATGGCCACCCAATGGGTTATACAAGTTGACGAAGTTGAGTGTAAAATGTGTGCCATTCTTATTTGGGTTTGCCTTTTCTTGAGTTAGTCATCTTAATTGAAAGGGAGTGTTTGAGTTTGATAAGCCTCATTTTAGAAATAATTTGGGTGATCCGAACCATTCACTTTGTGGGTGTTTAGGAAGTAGGTTTTTTTAGTTGTAGGATATTATTGGAGAAATTTTTTTGTGTTTGGGAAGATTTTTTTTTTTTGATCTGAAAAAGAAAACTATATTGATGAAAAGAACATTATATCAATAAAGAGGAGCTTGGAGCTAACAAAGCTCCAAGCTCCAGTTGGTGAGAAACCAACAGAGAATAAATCAACAACACAAAACAGATAAAACAGAAAGAACAGAACCATAGAAGCACTAAACTCCCTCAAGCACAGAAGATAGAACCAGAGAACCATAGCAAGATAGAGCAGCTAAAGCTTCCACAAAACACACCTCAAGCACCTTAAACAAACAGCCTAATCTGATGCAAATTAGAAACAAAATCATGAATAGAGTAATCAATCTACAATATCCATTTGGCCAACAAAGCAATATGCATCTTAATTTTTTCACATAAGTCTTCAACAGTAGGTAGAGCCCCCTTGAATTTACAATCATTTCTTAATTTCCACACATACCAGAAAACCACAGACGGAATTACTTGCCAAATTCTGGATTCCTTTGACTTGAACTTACCTCTAGACCACCAATGCAACAGCCCATGAACTGATCCAGGTATAGCCCATACCAGATCCCACCACCTTACCATAATTGACCAGCACTCCCAGATCAATGGACAAAAAAGTAACACATGTTCCAGAGTTTCCTCTACAGTATTGCAGAACACACAGGAAGAACTAATAGTGGCAGCTAAGACCCCAATCCTTTTTAGGAAAGATGAAGTCTTCACCCTACCCCTCCAAGTTAGCCAGTAAAAGAATTTCATTTTTGGAGGAGCAGAATTAACCCATAACCCTACAGGAATATTCAAACCAGGTCCTTTTGCTGCCACCCACCACTTCCACACATAGAGCACTGAAAACTGACCTGAGTTGTTAGCTAACCATGAGCAAGAATCTTCAATTTCAGACTTGATTGCAGGGGATGATACCAACAGCCTTAATAACCTCTGCAGCTCCTCTTCTTCCCAAGCAAATAGCCTTCTTTTGAACTGTAGCTACCGCACTCCTGCACTGCTCTTCTTAGCACTGATTTGATACAGAGTTTCCTCTTTCTCAGTAGATAAGTGATGTAATCTGGGGAACTCAACCTTCAACCCTCTGCTACATAACCAGCCATCAGACCAGAAATGTATTCTCCTCCTATTACCAACAGATACTTTAAAATGGTCATCATAAAATTCTCTCTGGTGCTGGTTGACTACAAGCAACTTCACAATGTCTTGCCAGATATTTGACATCCCACCTGTGTGAGACACAGGTGGCATCCAACCCCCATCAATTCTGCCATACCTAGAGCACAACACAGATTTCCACAAAGCTTTGTCTTCATTTCCATACCTCCACCACCATTTTAACAACAAGCAGTCATTCACCTCTCCTAAATCTCTCACTCCTAAACCTCCTTGCCATTTACTTCTGGTTACCTCTCTCCATTGAACCAAATGCACATTCTTCTTATTTTCTGACCCTTCCTACAGAAAAGAGGACTGAAGTTTCACTACAGTCCTTACAACCCCCTTAGGCATCCTGAACAATGAAAGGAAATAGATGGGCAAATTTGATAGAACAGATTTAATCAAAGACAATCTCCTTGCGAAAGATAACAACTTCCTTTTTCCAGGAGGACAGCTTCTTCTTCACCTTTTTTATTACTGGAACCCAAGTACTCTTCCTTCTTGGATTGGCCCCTAAAGGCAGACCTAAGAAGTTAAAAGGCAGCTTCTTAGTCAGACAGTTCAAGGTCTGAGCAAACTCCTTAGTTTGGTCCTTTTGAAAGCCCATCCCACAAACAACACTCTTGTGGTAGTTAATCTTTAGCCCATACATCACCTCAAAGCACCTCAACACTCTTTTTAAATTCAACACTTCCTCCAAATCACCTTCACAGAAAATGATGGTATAATTTGCAAATTGGAGATGAGATACACTTAACTTTTGAGAACCAACTATGGCACCTTGGAATAAACCTTTCTCAGTAGCCCTCCCTAATAACAAATTAAGTGCTTCAGCTGCTATAATGAACAAGAAAGGCGATAGAAGGTCACCCTGCCTGAGCCCCTTTTGTGGTTGAAATTCCTTAGTTGGTGCACCATTAACCAGAACAGAAATCTTAGCAGTTGAAATGCAAGTCTTCATCCAACTAATCCATTGTTCTCCAAATCCAAAGTTTCTCATCATAGATACTAGAAACTCCCAATTTATTGAGTCATATGCTTTTTCGAAATCTAACTTGAGTATAATCCCCTTCTTCTTAGATCTCTTCCACCCATCTACTACCTCATTTGCTATTAACACCCCATCTAGGATGTACTTTCCACAAACAAAGGCAAATTGAACCTCACCGATCACAGTTGGAAGAACCCTCTTAAGTCTTCTAGATAACACCTTGGCCAAGACTTTATAGATTGAACTGACCAAGCTAATTGGTCTGTAGTCCCCCAAATCTATAGGGTTGTCCTTCTTGGGGATAAGAACAATAAATGAACTGTTGATCTCTCTTGACAACTTTCCATTGGTGTGGAATTCATGCATCAACTGAATTATTTCCCCTTTCATAATTTGCCAACAACTTTGAATGCAAGCTAGGTTGAAGCCATTAGGACCAGGGGCCTCGTTTCCATCATAGTCTTGGATTGCTTCCCAAATCTTAGCTTCAGTAAAAACATCTTCCAAACTTACTGCTGCCTCAGGGCTAATAGTAGCAAAAGGGCATGACATTTTTGGCCTATGAATCCAATGCTCAGAAAATTGCTGATTAAAGTGCCTAACCACCTCCTGTTTTACCAGCACTGGATCCTCTAACCTCACTCCCTCTACCAAAACTGAGTCTAACATATTCTTTCTCTGCCTATTGCTTGCCATAATATGAAAAAACCTTGTATTTCTATCCCCAAATCTAACCCACTGCATCCTGGATTTTTGGTGCCATAACCTCTCCTTGTTTCTATTGAGCTGCCACACCTTTGATTTGACTTCTCTTCTTCTTTTAATTTCCAAACCAATCAAGGACTTGGATTCAGCCTTTAGATCCCATTCATGTAGCTCCTCCTCAGCTGACTTTAGTAGGGAGTCTATGTTGCCAAACACTGCCTTGTTCCACACCCTTAGATGGTCCCTCAAAATGCTCAGCTTTCTCATGACTCTATACCCTGCCCAACCTTGCACTTGTGTGTCCTCCCACCTCTTTTTGACTTCAGCCATGAAAGTAGGATGTGATCTCCAAGCATTAATGAATTTAAAGGGCTTAAGACCCCAATCCCTATCATCCTCTTTTAGCAATATTGGACAATGGTCTGAAATTGTTCTAGATAAGCCCTATTGTTTTATGGAAAACTTCTCCAACCACATTGGATCTACCAGAAATCTATCTATCTTGCTCCACCTATCACATTCCACTACATTACACCATGTGTATTGTCTGCCTAGCATAGGCATGTCAATCAACTCCAACTTTTCTATAAACTCATTAAAATCTGACATTCCCCTCTCTCTTCTAGAGCAGCCCTTTCTCTCACTCATATATCTGATTTCATTAATGTCCCCTCCCACACACCAGGGTAATGGAAAGTGTTGTTTAATACTCACCAAAGATTCCCAGATTTTTCTCCACCTCACAACCTCATTTGGAGCATAAACATTAACAATAACACATGGAAAAGAGCTACAAGTTGTACTTGATAAAATGATGAAGTTCTTATTACTACAACAATTCTGAAGCTCAAAAACCTGAGGTTTCCAAACACACAATATACCACCAGCACTTCCATCTGAGTCTATCTACATAAACTCCATCTCCTCAAAGGGCTAGATTGTTTTGACAAAACTATCATCCATCGAGCTTCTTTTAGTTTTTTGTATTAGCAATACACCTATACCCTTTCCCTCACTAGACTCTTTATTTTCCCCTTTTTTTCTGGCCTTCTCAGCTCTCTAACATTCCATGATAAGATCTTCATAATAACTATCACAACTTACACCTAAACCCTTTTTTAGCAACCAGCTATGATCTGGTTGCAGTTGCTTCAACTGCAATTCTTCTCAAATCATTCTCTTCCAATTCTACTATTTTGGACACTACATCCTCCTCTTGGCCTTGACACTGCATTCCCAACAATACACCAACCTTCACTATTGTCTGAGCCTCCTCAACTAGGTTACTTCTTTTTTTTCAGGGTCTGATTTTGGGAAATAGACAATGAATTGGCTGCAGCCACTGTTGAGGCTCTGAAGATTGCCCCTCTCTGAAAGCCAAGCCTACCCATCTTGCCTTTTTGTTTCATATGTCCTCCAACTATATTGATGCCCTTCCTTTGCTCACTGCCCTTCTTCCCTGAATTACACCCTCTTTTTGCTACTGCTTCCTTGAATTTGCTTCCTTGACCAGCCCTATTTGCCATAGTCGTATGGATGGTTTGGGCTAGAGTTGGTCTAACTTGGGTCTGGGCCACACAGTCTCTGAGATTCGACCCCACCCCCTTATTTGGCCCACTGGGCTCAGTCCCAACCTCCATGCCTTCAAGTAGAACTTCTAGACTTATATTATTCCTTGTACACACTGGCCCACTCAGTTCTTTTAAAAGACCTCCAGTGTATATATCCTTATCAAACTCATGAGCTTTATTCATCATTGTCTGCTAAGAAATGACTTCTTGCACCAGCCCCTTCTCTCTAGAGCATGCACCTGCTAGGTCAATCCCCATGTCACCCTCTCTGATAATTGCACCTACTAGGTCATTCCCCATTCCACCCTCTATACCAACTGCAGCTGATGCACGCTTGCTATAATTTCTTTTACCCTGCTCATCTGATCTGGCCATCTCTGTTTCCAACACCCTACTAACATCATCTCACCCATCTACACCCTCATCTTCTTTTTCTGAAGAAGCTCTGCAATCTTGCAATTACCACCATTGTCGAACATCTGATCTGCCCCTCATTTTGCATTGGAGTGTAGTTGTTGATGTTGCATACTTCTACTACTACTTGGATTCAAGAGTAAACAACTAGGGACTTCTTCACAGACCCTAACTAGAATGTACTTACCTTTATGCTCCAAAAATATTGTCTCATTGACTATCTCCATATACTTTGTTATCACTCTTACCTTAGCTTGCTGGAAAGTTTGTGGATCATTAATATCTTCTTCGAACTGAGCTACCACCCCCCAATGACTACCAATGTTTCGAATAGTTGTAACACTCCAGAGGTTTATGGGAATGCCAAAACAAATCAACCAGACGCACCTCTCTTGCTCCACAAACTGACCTTTTCCCTACTCTTCAATTGAATCACACCATTGCCTTCCCCACCCTTCTAGTTATTCCTTCCCAACTTGCATGTGTTGTGCTGAGGGAAAGGTTAAGAAAACTATGCGCCCAGCCCCCTCTCTTGCAACCACATCCTGCATCCCTCTTTTCCAGAGTTCTGCTCTAAAATCCTTAAAAACTAAAAAACTACTCAGTTGAACTACTAAGCTTTCATATCGCCAGCCATTGCTTTCTTCAGTAGCTTTTATTGTCACATGCACACCCACTCTGGCACTTCCCCTTGCTACTTCCTCCGCATAAGTCTTCTTAACTCCATTTCCCAGTCTCTGCTGCATCTGGAACCCCTGATCCATCATTCTCTCATCTTCGCCTCTATTCTGTCCCCTTTGCTCCGATTGATTAGCTCTTTGAGGTTTTTGAAGCTCTGCTCTTTTGACCCTCAGTTCCTTATTATCACACCACGACCCATCTGCCTTCTATATTGCAGCCACCTCGCAATCATATTGTACAAACCCAAATCTAGATCTTTATGCTTTCCTTCTCTTCCCTAGTATAAACACATCTTTCACTAAGCCAAACTTCCGAAATGGATCGAACAATCCTTTAGGACCCATGGAATTTGGAATGTTATCAACGAATATCGTAACAATCACCGCCTCCTTCCGAAATCCATTCTAACTGCCCACTCTTCTCCTCTGTATTACTGGGTTCCAACCTCCACTCTCCATTGTCTTACAAACATGCACTTTGAAAATGAAAACTTAATAATTAGCTATGTTCTTTCTAAGTTTTTTGTGTTTGGGAAGATAGTTGGATTTTTTTTGTGGTTGGATGTGATATTTGTAAGAGAAAATGTGAAATGATTTTGTTTGGATTTGTTTTTTTTTTGGTTTTGTAACCAAAAAATGATCGGGCATTAGTAGATTTCTTAAAATGATCAGACGTTAGTAGCTATATGTTTAGATTAGATTTGTATTATAAAAAATGGATGACTATTCTTAAAATTATATTTATCGTCTATTTTTATAAAACAAATGTAATTCAAATATATAGTTACTGATATCCAATCATCTTAATTTTTACATAAATATTCTACTTAATAAATCTTAAAAAACAAATAATTCAAACAACTAATATGGATCCCAAAATAGACCAACCAACATTGGTTTGCTGTTTTATAGTAGACAACACTTCATTTCATAGACTTCTCTTTTTCCAAGTATGTGGAATGTGTGTATCTTCTTCTCCAAGACAAGGGTTGAATTCAAAGCACATGCTTAAATCTTTCTTCTTCTTTTTTTTTTTTTTTTGCCTATATATATATATATATACTAGCGCATGTCCGTTCTTGAAGGCACGGTGTAAGTAATATTAGGATTAGAATATAATTGTAATCCCAACACTATTTAAATCTATTTTTTAATTTGATAAAATCACAAATTTATTATAAAATTTTAGAGTTCTCACAAAACTCCTCACAAAAACTCGCTTTTGCTTGTATGATATATAGCTAGATAAATAGATGTGCCTAGTATACATACAATTTCTACAGGCATACATACAATACTACTTTTACTTATATAATTATATGAAAATTGTATGTATGCCCGTAATGTCCTAGTGTGTTACGAACATACATACATTGTATGAAATATGAATAAAAATAAGTGATCAAAAAGGAGAAAATAAAAAAAAAAACAAACAAATAGAGAAAAATGAAAATGGGAAAAAATAAAAAAATAAAAATAAAGGAGAGAGGAAGGTGGGATCATGGGATCATGGAAGGATAGGTGAGAAAAGGAAAAAGTAAGAGAGAAGCGGGAAAATAGAAAATGTACATGTAGAATATTTTTTGAAAAATATATCACAGCTGTTGTTTTATAATTTGAATAGAATGTCCTAGTAGGACAAATGTGTGTAGAACAAATTCAAAAATCATCCTGTTTTATTATATAGATGTTGAAGATTTATATGATGTCTAAATTTACGAAGTCTATCCGGTATTCAATATATTTAAAAATAATAATTAATTGTTCAAATTCATTTAATTTGTGGACTAAAAAATTCATTAATATTATCTCCACTATACACAGTAAAATCTGGCCCTTAATTCTAGAATCGCAAACTTTTCCATATAATATGAATAAAAATAAGTGATCAAAAAGGACGAAAAAAAAACAAACAAATAGAAAAATAAAAATGGGAGAAAATAAAAAAATAAAAAGAAAAGAGAGGGGAAGGTGGGATCATGGGATCATAAAATGATAGGTAAGAAAAGGAAAAAGTAACAGAGAGAAGCGTGAAAATAGAAAATGTACATGTAAGATATTTTTTGAAAAATATATCTAAGCCATTGTTTTATAATTTGAATAGATCTAAGCTGTCCAAATGTCCTCGTAGGACAAATTCAAAAACCATCCTGCTTTATTATATAGATGTTGAAGATTCATATGAGGTTTAAATTATGAAGTCTATTAGGTATTCAATATATTTAAAAATAATAATTAATTGTTCAAATTCATTTAATTTGAGGACTATAAAATTCATTAATTTAATCTCCATTACGCACAGTAAAATCTGGCTCCTAATTTTGGGATCGCAGACTTTTCTATATAATATGAATAAAAATAAGTGAACAAAGAGGAGAAAATAAACAAATAAAATAGAGAAAAAAATAAAAATAGGAAAATAAAATTAAAAAAAAAAAAGAGTGGAAGGTGGGATCATGAGATCATAAAAGGATGGATGAGAAAAGGAAAAAGTAAGTGAGAGAAGCGGGAAAAAATAAAATGTGCATGTAAGATATTTTTTAGAAACATATCTCAGCCGTTGTTTTATAATTTGAATAGATCTTAGCCGTCCAAATGTCATAGTAGGACAAATTTAAAAACCATCCTACTTTATTATATAGATGTTGAAGATTCATATGAGGTCTAAATTTACGAAATCTATTAGGTATTCAATATATTTAAAAGTAATAATTAATTGTTCAAATTCATTTAATTTGTAGACTAAAAAATTCATTAATATAATCTCCCCTACGCACAGTAAAATCTGGCTCCTAATTCTGGGATCGCAGACTTTTCCATATAATGTGAATAAAAATAAGTCAAAAAGGAGAAAATTAAAAAAAATAAACAAATAGAGAGAAAAATAAAAATGGGAGAAAATAAAAAAATAAAAAGAAAATAGAGAGGAAGGTGGGATCATGGGATCATAGAAGGATAGGTAAGAAAAGGAAAAAGTAAGAGAGAGAAGCGGGAAAAGAGAAATGTACATGTAGGATTTTTTTAAAAAAATATATCCCAGTTGTTTTATAATTTGAATAAATCTAAGTCATCCAAATGTCTAGTAGGGCAAATTCAAAAACCATCCTACTTTATTATATAGATGTTGAAGATTCATATGAGGTCTAAATTTACAAAGTCTATCAGATATTCAATATATTTAAAAATAATAATTAATTGTTCAAATTTATTTAATTTATGGACTAAAAAATTCATTAATATAATCTCCACTACACACAGTAAAATCTAACTCCTAATTTTGGGATCGCAAGCTTTTCTATATAATGTGAATAAAAATAAGTGATCAAAAAGGAGAAAAAAAAAAACAAATAGAGAGAAAAATAAAAATAGGAGAAAATAAAAAAATAAAAAGAAAAGAGAGAGGAATGTGAGATCATGGGATCATAGAAGGATATGTGAGAAAAGGAAAAAGTAAGAAAGAGAAGCGGGAAAATAGAAAATATACATGTAGGATATTTTTTGAAAAATATATCTCAGCTGTTGTTTTATAATTTGAATTGATTTGAGTTGTCCAAATGTCCTAGTAGGACAAATGTGTGTAGGACAAATTCAAAAACCATCCTACTTTATTATATAAATACTAGGGCGATTAGTCTAAAATAAAAGCTTACTAAAATTGGCAAGTTTAAATATAATATTTGTGTTATTTTTATTGCATAAAGTATTGTGATGATAATAACAATACCATTATTCCAAAATATAATTAGCAAATGCATGAGTAAACAAACAAGAGCATAAATGTAAAAACTATATCTAATGGTGATTATGAAAAAAATGGAAAAATTTCACTTCAGTGAATCTTTTCACAAAAAAAAAAATTACAAATAAGTGGTAAACTTTATCAACTTTAATAATTAAAATTATAAACTTTTTATGAATTTATAAATATTTTATGAAAGTACCACTTATTTGCAATTCTCCCTTTTAGGAAAAATTACATTTTAGTATGTCTTCCCTCTGGTTCCATCTCAATTTGAGAATGCTTTTAGTTTGAGTCATCTAGCCAAATGAACTTCACGATTTTTCTCTAGGTTTGGTTTGATAGTGCTGAAT